TGCTTTTTCGCGATTGCTTGATACGAGATTTATCTCCTAGTTCTCGCGATTCGATTTCTGCAATCGCTTCTTGAATTGGGTCCATATTGGTTGAGTTTTGACGCGTTGAAGTTTTGTTGTTGTGGTGGTGGGGGTGCTCAACTGGCGATGGTGCTCATCTGGTGCACGGGCACTGTAAGTCTTAAGAAGCTAAAATCCGGTCCATCTTTGTAGTGGGGGAGGGGGTTTCGGCAGAACATGAAACCGACATTTTCCTACTTATGCTGTAGGTGCTGCTTGCAATCGGATCTTAGCATGGCACGTGGCCTCGTAATTATCCCGATTCGGCCTTTTTGTCGCTCCACTGTGAGGTATTCAGATGGCTACTGTACGTAGTCTAGAAGGCTTTTGCTTTGTGTTGGATATATGTAAGCTTGTTTTACTTGGTTTTGTTGCCTAGTATAGATAGGTCTTTGGGCCGCACGTTTTATTACTACTTATGTTTTATTACACGAGTATATCTTTCCATGATAACTGTACAACATTTGTTATTGTGGGACAGTCTAGCTACTACAATGTATCTATCTGTGCTTGCTGCGCTTTTTGCTATAAGCGCACCCGTCGCGATTGCTGCAGAAGTTCCTGTTTCAGGCCTGGGGTGTGTGTGTATGGTAAGTCTCCGTCTCCGTCTCTGAGTGTCTGTGTATGTGTGTGTGTGTAAAGATTTGTGGAAATAATAAAAATCGGGTTATAGCAGCAGGGTGTTAACGGACAACGCGATGGACCAAGGTACTATAGTACTACAATTGGTTATGATGCATATGGAGGTCATTTCAAGGATTCCTTTTTTCTCCCTTTATATCTTAGACTATCTTCTGTAGTTTGAATTTCTTTGTTTCTGGAAAAACAAAAAAACTGACGAATTGGTAAAATGTAGGAAAGTTTATTGTAACGACTGATTTTTATGGCCGAGGAATATACTACTGCTCTGTGCGAGACAGCATGACCCCAGCCATTCGGGATCAGCAGTGGTGCCGCCTGTTCTCGTTTTCGAATTATGGATATTGTAATGCAGCAACTCTGGCACTAAATTTATGAAAGTGTAGAGAAGAGTGAGGGTAAGGAGCTATAGTTATGTGTGCCGAATATATAAATTTAACACGACTTCTTTTGTCTTACATGATTAATATCCAAGATCTACGTTTTAATTGCTTATTAAGGCGCTAATTAACATTTGTTAGCTATCCTATGCCTATTTGCTAGCCTATACGATGCTTAGAACAGCACTAAGCCGCAAGAACAGACGTCGATCCGGCAGATTATGCGGCCAATATTTAATTGTTTCATGAGTAATTTTGACGTGCGGACGCTGCCCTTTTTAAAACGCAGTAGATTACACAATATAAAACAGCAGTGAGGTACTATACCTAGTACCTGATACCCAACAGGTAGGTAGTATTGTGACACAGTTAATGTCTGCGAACAGCGAGAGTCTTCAGCAAACACGAGACGCGGCCAATATTTACATACTGTAGACCTGCACATAGGCTTGCAATTAGATCTTACCATGGCACGTGCTTCTTAGCTAGAGTCTTTTTGCTATCCTGCACTGGTATAAAACTCCAGTGCTCCTTGTTGTGTGTGCCCTTAATCCGAATTGTCTGATCGGCCAAACTATCTCTCCGCTCTGAGGTATATATAGAGCTGCGTAGGCTTGACTCTCCGCTGAATATCATCTCGTCACTGGGTATTGCCTAGTGTAGTCTGTTAAGCTGCGCATCTTATACTCCTTCTACTACACAGAAGATCTTTTAACAACCTTTTTACAACCGTTTATACATATCAGTTCAGCTACGATCATGCATTCATCTATGCTTGCTATCTTCTTTGCTATAGGCGCACCCGTTGTAAGTGCTGTAGCAACTGTTAATTCAGAGCTAGGATGTGTGTGCATGGTAAGTCTCAATCTTCGTACGGACCAAGATTTCATGAAATAATAAAACCGGTGTAGGAGAGAGCCCCTAGAGGACACCGCGACCAAGCAAACTATGATCGTACTCAGGGTGGTTGTGATCTGTATGGCGGTAAGTCCAAGTTCCAAGATACTTGTTTTTTTATGTATGAATTTCTCTATTTATTCGAGCATACTAACGAAAATGCAATGTAGGATTCGTGACTAATACGCAGGACTTCTATGGCCGAGCAACATACTACTGTGTTATATCCGATAACAGTATCACTCCGGCTACTTGGGATCAGGACTGGTGCCGCAAGCACTGGCCAACATCGAGTTATGGATTTTGCAACAAAGCAACTCCCCCCTCGTAAATGCGTGAAAGTGTAAAGGAGAGTGATATTAGGGGGCTACATTTGTGTACATATAAATAACAGCTGAATTTAGCAAGGCTTGTATTTTCTTACATAATTAATACTTAGGATCTACGTTTTCATAGCTTATTAAGGTACTAGACTATCTTTACTACCTATTCTACACCTGCTTACCAGCCTATGCGGTGCTTAGAAGAGTGCTAAGCTATATGAATGTCATTCGGCTCCATCTTTATAGTCTCGGTATAACATGCGGCGGATAGTGTAGATATGCATGAGAAAAGCTTGTAATTGAATCTTAGTATAGCACGTGCCTCCTCACAGTCAGATCGGCCTTACTATCTCTCCGCTCTGAGGCATTTAGATAGCCATATAGGTAGCAAGCTTTGCTGTTCATCGAATATTATCTCTTTACTGGATATTACCTATTACAGCTCTTTAGGCTGCGTGTTTCATACCACCTTTACAAGACTAATATATTCTTTAACAATCACTTTTTTTGAACATTTATTGTTATATGCTGGTGTAGCTACTACCATGTATCTATCAATCCTTACCACCCTCTTAGCTATAAGCGCACCGGTTCTCGGTGCATGGGAATACAAAGAGGTGGTTGCAACCATGGGATGTGTGTGTATGGTAAGTCGCAAGTCTCTGGGTGTAAGAAGATTTTGTGAAGTAACAAAATTGGTTGTAGGAAAGAGCTCCTAGCGGACAAACCGACCAAGCAAATCTTGAGTATACTCAGGGTGGTTGTGATCTATATCAAGGTAATTTCTTTCCCTCTTTTTTTTGTTTCAACTATGAAAAAAAGAATCTCTCTAGTTTAAATTCACTCTCTAACTATATCTTGATACAGGAGTCATAGCTCGTACCTCAGATTTCTGGGACCGAGGAAAATTCTTCTGTGCGATACCAATGCATACTATTACTCCAGCTACTTGGGACCAGGATTGGTGCCGCAAGCACTGGCCAACAACAAGCTACGGATTTTGTAACGGAGTAACTGGCTAAGTATAAATGTGTGGAAGGCGTAAAAGGGAGTGACGGTAAGGGGCTATAGTTACAATCAACAGATGAATTCAACAAGAGTTATCTCTGTAGCGAAATTTGTGTCTAGATACCTGCGAAAGCACTGTTATCTTCGGAAACACAGAAAAAGAAGGCTCTTCAGGATGTTGTGGGGTAAGATGTGCGTACCTTATGCGGCTTGGTATTACAGTCCTTGAAAACCTTTATGCGCCAAAAATGCATAGGGGCAGAGCAGTGAGCAGATTCAAGGATGCGGCTTGAGACGCTGCGTCGCAATCTATCCAACCGTGCTCACAGTTACGTGACCTGCTCAATGATTTGTATGACTTAGCACTTCTAAGTAATTCAGTACTCTGCAGAAAGAGCTAATGTATATCAATATGCAATGATCCCCGAAATTCAAAGTCAAAGTCTTTTATAACATTAATGCTTATCTCTACATCTATCTTGCAGGTTCATATCTTAGGTAGTAAGAGGTAGAGTGGTTTTCTGTACTATAATTTACCTTATCTTACTCTACGTATTAATGGTTACACAATTCTTGCTTGCTAATACTATGGCTGCTTTCTTTGCATTTGCATTGCATGCAGAGCAGGGGGGCTAATCCATGCAAGAAGCAGATGACATGTATACAGTTACGTAAAAAGAATTGCATCTCTTGTGCCACGTCTGCAAAATACCGACATATCACGCGACTCTTGGGTGTTTTTGTACGTGCCTTGCTTGCCCGAAATGCGACCCTTTGGGGGGTGACGGACTTGATTGAATGATTGTAGAATGTTACACCATGTATTTGGTTTGAGGAAACACAGAAACCATAATGTCTGTTTGTCCTAGCCTGGATGGAGTGATCATCGTTCTTGCTTGTTGTTTAACCCCCCATCAGTAGATCAATCACACTTTGCACTTGACACTCACGTCTGCCTTGTATCCACATCCACACATGATCACCATCTAGATTACACCACCCACGCCGCTTATGCATCACTCCCCCACTACCCAGCCTCCCGTATATGCCCCGACACCCACACCCACGACATCCAACAATTTAACACCCTGGCCCCCTGGCCCCCAACATCCGGATTAGGAAATATATAACTTCCCCCGCTTCTGAACAAACACATACCCCCCCTGCCATCCCCCTCAAGTGTGTATATGGGAAACGCAGCACAAACGAGTTTGAAAAAAAAGCAAGATTAAGGCCTGTTATCCCCCTTGCTCTCAGCACGCCCGTCTCCTTGATTGGTGCACAAACTCCGTGTGGTTGAGATTACATACTACCGGATGTGCCATGCGACGTTGCTGACGAGCCTCGCCACTAACGACTACCCGTTTCTGTCTGCCGCTGCCGCCACTGCTGCGGCATACGCTAATTCGTTGCTTGACACCCCCTTTATTTGTCTTTTCTCGTGCACGTCCGGAACGATGATCACGCCTTACTGTTGACAAAGCCAAGCCACGTTTTGGTGCATCATTCAGTCAGTCAGCTTCTTGGTTTGGGGTGTCGGATGGATCCGGGGAAGCGATAGCGTATCGTAGCATAGCGCAGTGGAGTGGAGTGGAGTGGAGTGGGGTGGGATAGAAAGGAATGGATCGATTGATCGATCGCTCTGGTATGGGTACTTTGGTATCAGCACTCTCACTCTTGCATGCCTGTGATAGCCAGTCGACTTACTACCGATCAGATGGCTAAACCATGTCTCCACCCTCCCACTCCTCTCCTCTCACGACTTACCCTGATCCTTGACACCAACAGTGTTACACAAGCAGAATGCTCAATTGATAATCCTACCTTCATGCATTATCATGCAGGGACCTGGACATGACCTTACAAGACAGCCATGTCACCACCACTACCAGTTGTTTATCCCTAGCTAGCTGGATATTCTGCATCGGCCGCCACTTCCCGCATGTCTATGGTAGCACAGCTGGCTGACTGACTGGCAGGCAGACAGGCGGCGTTTTCTTCTCTTTCTCTGTAAAAAGAACAACGGTTCTTGGCACATACCACAAGCGCATGCAAGTGTGAATGTGTAACGTGCTTCGTCATGCTAGTACTTCTTGTTGGGTACATGGAAGCAGGGGTATATGGCGGCTCGGGTACCCGAGATATACATGTACAAAAATACGGTGAGTGCTTGTGACGTTTGACGAGCGAGTGTGTAAGCCATGTGCAGAGAGCGGGGGCGTGGGTTGCGTCGGGTAAGCTTGGTATATGGATTTCTCTGTATGCAAATGGAGAACGATAAATGCAGATTTTTTTTTCAGATAGACTGGGTGTACTGGGTGGTTAAGAATTTACCCAATGGAAAGTGCTGGAGTGCACACTTAGGCATAGCGTGGCATGTGAACGCAGTACCACATTGAGATGATCATGAAAAGGAAAAGATCGAGCGTAGATATGTATATGACAACACTCTCCAAAAAGGCCATTGGCCTGAACGCCGTATATGCAAAGATACCACCCACCCATGTGCCTCTATGGCGCCATTAGCCGACCACATGACAACATATGCAATAACTAAAGAAAAAAAAACCCCATCAATCCCACGTTCATCCACTACCTCTTCTCCACGAGCAAGAGATGCATAGCCATGTAGGCCAGCAGCACAAATGCGCCGCCAAACACGCCTAGCCCGATGCAATCCGTCCACAGCGCTTGCGTGTTGAAACCAAACGAACTAAGGATAGCGGATCCAGGGACTTCAATATCAAGACCGTATTTGTGGTCGATGAGAGAGAGATATTTGACCTCATTGACGATGAGACCTTCAAAGGCGTAGTGAAAGATTGACAACTGTTGCTGTTAGTATGAAGAGCTTTGGGCAAAGGGGAGGCAGAACTTACAGATTGCAACCACTTGGCAACGGCAGGAATACTATCCTTGTTCAAGAAGAAACCGGAGAATAGAAGACTGAAGAGCATGACAAGTACACCAATCAGGTTCGCGACACCAGAGTTACGGAACACGATACCAATGAAGAGGAAGATGGCCGCAGCAGCAAGGTTGAATAGGACAAGGAAAAGCGTAAACTTGAGGAAGTTGGCCCAGGCTGGAATAAGACCCGTCATCGGATAGACAATGATGCCAAGAATCATGGGTGGAAGCAGGCGTAGAGGGATGATGTCGAAGATGACCTTGGCGGCAAAGTATGCGGGTGGGGAGTAGTAGCCCTTGGCACGTTCGCGAGTAAAGAGCAACCGTTCGGGCGCGAAGACGGTGAGGATGGTCAAACTGCTGAAGCCGAAGAGCGAGAGAACAAACAAGAACAGACCAAGACGGTTCTGGAAACCCTTGATATCGTCGGTAAGGCCGTAGAAGAGGAAGCCCAAAAACACGGCCAGAACAATGGCAATGGCGTAGTGGGTGAGCATAAGCATAGGGTTGCGGTAGAGATTGCGCCATGTGCGTCGCGACAAGATCGTGAACTGACCCAACAAGCCAACTTTTTTGAACCCCTTCAGCTTGCCTGCTGCGATGAAGCCGTTGAGCTCCTGGACTCTGTTGGTGCCGTTGGCTTGGTTGGCGTTTGCGACCGAAGTGGCAATGTCCTCACGAATACTGGCGGCGATTTCCGACGAGGCATAGGCATTGATGAGAAGGTCGAGGTTGGTTCCAGTGGCGCCGTTAGCAGGGGGTGGGAGCTCATCGGGATCCTCGAGAATCTGAGGAGGTACACCACCTTGTTGACGAGTAAGCTTCAGCCACTGGGCCTTGATGGCGCTTCGACGATCATAGGGCTCTTCATCCGTCTTGGGCGACATGGTGCCATCGTTGGTAGAAGTAGCAAACTTTTTCCGCGTGAAGAGCTCGCGTTCCTGCTGCTGCTTGATAGATGTCCTTCGCTTGTTCTTGGGTCGCATCATGCTAGAATTGCTGGGACTTCCGGCAATGTCTCGCTCAAGCTCAGAGGTGTTGATGCTAGGAATAGACTTGACGGCGATTGCGCTGCTTGCACTTGTGGCCAGTCCATCGCGGCTGACGTCACGGTTGAAGAGGAAGCTGTCTTCGTCAATAGTTTGGCGCGACGTGCTCGCGTGCATGGTGAGATCCACAATGTAATCGGCAATATTGAAACCGGGTGGGCAGGTGTAGCCAAGCTCGTCAAAGTAGGACTGGCAGCTCTCAAAAGGCCCAGAGTAGACAGTGCGACCTTTTGCAAGCAGAATCAGCTGATCAAAGAGGGCTACAATGTTGGAGCGCGGCTGGTGAATGGTGAAGACGACGGTTCGGTTGTAGTTCTTGACAAGGTTGACAAGGCACTCGACGACGTTGAAAGCGTTGTATGCGTCCAGTCCGCTAGTAGGCTCATCCAGGAAGAGGATGCTGGGCGACGTTACAAGCTCACAAGCAATACCGACACGGCGCTTCTCTCCGCCGGAAATGCCACGGCCACTTTCCTCGGAGCCAATCTTCTGGTTGCGAATGTGGTAGATACCAAGCTGGCGTTCGACGTCTTCAACCTTTTGTTCTTTTGAGCTGCGGCTCATTTCCTTGGGTAGGCGCAGAAGAGCCGAGTCAAGAATAGTCTCGTGCACAGTCAAGGTGGGTAGCAGAGTATCCTCCTGGTCCACAAAGCCAATAACGCTGCGGAACTCGTCGTCGCGAACCTTTTCTCCATTGACGTAGAAATCGCCACTGTCGACTCCAATCTTCTGCTTGCGGGCGAGGATATCCAAGAAGGTAGTCTTTCCAGCACCAGAGGCGCCCATGATGGCCAGGAGCTCTCCAGGATGGACCGCACCAGAAATACCAGAGAGGATCTGCTTTCCGTTGAGGTTGTAGGCGACGTTTTCGAAGAGGAAAGCAGCTGGCTTGTGGTCTGCAAGGAGCTTCGCATCCTCATCCTCCTCATCGTCTGACAGATGAATGGGACCGTAACGCCTTGCCTCGGCGCGATGGGTGAGGTACCACACCGTCAAGATTGCCGCCACGATGAAGAGTGCACAGCCGGCAATGACGCCCGCAATGAGAGGTGTGTTGATTTTCTTGATCGGTCTTTCGTAGCCGGGTACCTCAGTGTGGTACAAACACTCGCCAGTGTCGCACTGCAGGAAGATGCTTTCGTCGCCGAAGATGCTCGAGATGAGGTCGTTCATGGCGGGCTCGGAGAAGGTGCTGCCGCTTTCTTTGTGGTTGATGGCCGAGATGCCCTTGAATTCGGCGGGACCCTTGATAGACTCCCTCAAGAAGTCGCCAATGTCGACAGAGCCGTCCTCGCCACAGAGCATCCTGTCAGGGACACACTCGCACTTGATATTCTCGCATCGGTATTTGGTGATGTTGCGGTCAGCTTCGGCGGCGAAGTGCGAGGCGCACGTGTCGAGGGCGCAGTAGAAGGACTCCCTCTGGTCGACCCAGACTGGGGCGGTTAGCGACAGAGGCAGAGGCGGCTGGGACAGACTTACACTGGAAGTTGCACTCCTCCGTCTCGGCGTTGCACGAGAAGGTCGCCTGCGGTTTCTTCTCCTTCAAGGTGTCGCGAATCTTTCGGTTTGTGATGTCGCAGATCTGGAAGTTCTCCTTGACCAATTGGCCGTCCTTGTAGCAGACTCCACCCTCTCCGTCTGGCATCATGGCGTTGCAGGCATTGTTGGTCTGGCAAACATTGCAGTTGATGCCTGACCAGCCGTCTTTGCACTCGCATTCCTTTGCGCCTCCTCTGGGGGAGCGGTCTTTGCCATCAGGAAGAGCGCCACAGAGGGGCTCTGAACAGTCCTCGCCACCAAAGCCAGGGCCGCAGTTGCAGCGGCCGTTTGCCTTGCTGCAGTCGGCGAACTGCTTGCACTTGAAGTCCTCGAGGTTGCAGTTGAAGCACGGGGGACAGCCGTCGGGGCGGTCGCCGTAGATGGAGAAGAGCTCCTGGGGGGATTCGGCGAGCGAGTAGTTTGCAAACGTCTTGTGGGCGGCGGTGGAGCATGCCAGGCCCAGGGCGGCTGCAGCGAGCGACGTCGCCCAGCTGCGTGAGCGCATGTCGTGCGTGAGCGGCGCGGCGCCAGCAACAGCAACAGCAGGCAGCTGCGATAAGAGCGACGCGTCGCCGGGTGGATGCGCGACAAGGAGCACGAGATACAGAAGGCAGGCCAAAGGGCCAAAGGAGCGGCGGACGAGCTGGACCGGGCGAGATGGCAGAGAGACGAGGGCGAGGTGGTGGACAGAGGCCGCCGGGCGGTGGGTTGCTATCGTCTGCTCGATATCAACCGCACCCTGGTCATTCGCGGAGAGGCTGGCGCCTGATTCAGCCAAGCCTCACCGCGGACCGCTCTACCGAGGCTCTCTCACACTCACAGCTCACGCCCTGGTCACGGCCGCTTTTCGTCATCGACGTCCTCGCAACCACCACCACCATGACCGTGACCGTGCCAATGCACGAGACGGCCCGCGTGCGTGGCAAATGAGTCGCGCCCGTTGCCCGGCACCCGCAACGCCGCCTGTTCCTCGGTGAGACGTGGCCATTGGTCGTCGCCTGGCTCCTAGCTTGCCGGCCCGCTCCAACGGAACCACTGCCTCCAACAACCACGACTTATCATTTGCGCCCCATGTCAATAGCGGCGACATGTCTCTTCCAAGAACCGCTGCGACGCCGTGCCGCTGACTGCCTGCCGTCCCCGCACCGTATACCGCGCCGCCGCGCCCTCGACAACAATGGTCAAAATCGACGACTTTGCCGTCGAGTCCGTAAGTCGAGTCCCCGCACTTCGGCTGCCTTGGCCCCGGGGATCTGACCTGTAAAAAGTGGATGGACCAGTATGAGACAAGGTGCAAGTTCAACATTGCCGAGACGTGTTGCGCCTCAATCTCCATCGATCAGCTACGCGACCTGTCAGAGGACAAGAATAGCCAAATCTTCGACACTTCGCGCATCCTAAACTACGGCCCCATCAGAGGGAGTGGCGACCTGCGCAACAACCTCGCCCGCCTGTACTCTGCAAAAGTCACCACCCCACTGCCAGCCGAAAACATCCTCACGACGCCCGGCGCAATCCAAGCAAACTACCTGGCCGCCTACGCCCTCGTAGGGCCTGGCGACCATGTCATCTGCCACTATCCCACCTACCAATCCCTCTATGAAGTGCCCAAGCAACTGGGTGCCGACGTCGACCTGTGGAAGGCAAAGCCCGAAAACAACTGGATACCCACCATCGAAGACCTAAAGGCTCTCGTCAAGCCCAACACCAAGCTCATTATCCTCAACAATCCCAACAATCCCACCGGTGCAGTTCTCGGCAAGACATTCCTGCAAGAAGTCATCGACATTGCTTCGGAGAAGAACATCACCCTCCTGGGCGATGAAGTCTACCGGCCGCTCTTCCATTCCATCAGCCCGCTAGACAAAGAGTTTCCGCCATCCCTCCTGTCCATGGGCTACAGCAATGTCATTGTCACCGGCTCCATGTCCAAAGCCTACTCGCTGGCCGGCATACGCATAGGATGGATCGCCTCGCGCAGTTCTGATCTGATTGAGAAGATTGCAGCAGCACGCCACTACACGACAATATCCGTCTCCTATTTCGACGAGCAAGTCGCAGCCTATGCTCTGCACCCCTCGACCATTCACAACCTGCTTGCACGCAACATCCAGCTTGCCAAAACCAATCTTGCGCTCCTGGAGAAATTCATCATCAAGAACGAAGACGAATGCGAGTGGGTGAAGCCAACAGCAGGCACAACCGCCTTTGTCAAGTTCCACAGAGAAGGCAAGCCAGTGGATTCAGTCGACTTTTGCAAGAAGCTACTCGAAGCCACAGGCGTCATGTTCGTGCCCGGCAGCACATGTTTTGGCGACGAGTTCAAGGGCTACGTGAGAATTGGCTTTGTAAACCAGACAGACGTGGTCAAGGAGGGTCTTGAGGCCGCAGCCAAGTTTATCCGTAAGAGCTTGGATGACGTGGAATTAGCTGCATAAACTACTTCTTTTGTAGCTACGCAATGATTAAATAAGTCTACCCCATCAACTCTGCACACACTTGCTGCCTGAAAGTTCACATTACCCGTTTAAGCCTAGCGATCTAGCCCGCTGCGCCACACGCCTGCTACGCCACACATGTTCGGCCGCGACTTAGTCCCAAATCCCTGTGGCAGCCTCGCAAGGCGAGCGCGTGCTGCGGCTCCTTGCTACGCGCTCTAAGCCACGGTAAGGAAACTAGCATATCCCGTGCTTTGGATACAAAAAAAGAATACTTATATACTGTGAGCCCGCCCTTTTGCCAGGAAACCTCGACAACATCTTACGTCTTCACATCTACTCTAGAAGAGAGAGAGAGAGAGAGAGAGAGAGAGAGAGAGAAAAGCTACAACACTACGTCCATTCATTCATCCATTCATTCGCATACATGACACCAGCACTATCTTCGGATTTGTCTTCGAAATCCCTTGTGGAATCTACTCAAAGCGTAGACTCGACATTGGAAGAGCCACAAACCGTATCTCCATCTCCATCTTCGACCTCGTCTTCATCACTCTCCTGGTCATCCTGGAAATCCAAACTCCACATGCACCACTCCACCACACCACCCGTCCCAGGCAAGGAGCCATGGCGCGATGCCACGCTAAGCGACAAGGAGCGCTGGAAGGAGTGGCAAAAGGCCAAGGATAGGGAGCAGATGAGAGGGTAAGTCAGTCAGTTCCATCTTCTCTCTTCATCTTCCCTTTGTGTTTCGAGTGAGTTTGCTCCCAGATGCTGATTGCGATGTGGGGGTTAGATCGGCGACGGGGTTTTTTACCGAGTTTTACAAGGGTAGGGGAAAGACGGGGTATTGGTTGGATGTGCAGTTTTGAGAGGTGAGGAAGAAGAAAAAGAGATGTGGGAAATAGATGGTGTTTTGCATTGGTTGAATCGGATTCGTGATACACACCATGATGATATTCTACATTGCTCCTTGGTTAATATGTAGTTTTACATTTCATGTACATGGTCTTGCAATGTCTGGCTCTGGTTCGCTTGGCTGGATGACTTTTGAGAACAACTCCAAGACCTCAGTCATCAGCTTACTCTACAGCGATAAGTCTGTCGACAGCTACAAAGGTTAGTCTTGACAGCACGTCAATTGGATTCAGTAACATACCTCTGCCGTTCTCCAACAACCACCCCGAGCAGTCAATTTTCCAATCTTGCCCCTGGACCTTGACCTTTGCGATGCCAAATCTCAGCACTGCGAATTTGAATCGCAGGAAGAAGTTGGTCCATTTCTGGTACACCCAGCGCGCGGAGCCTTCCCACAGTCGCGCCGCAATGTTCATGTGGCCCAGGTCGTCCCACAACTTCTGGCGGCGGAAACGCTCGGCCTCCAGCAGCTCCTGGACCATAGGCTCCGTCTTTTCACTGATGGTGGCTTCCCCAAGCTGCGAGTATATGATGCGCTCTTTGGACCATGGCGCTGCTCGCACCGTCATGCGCAATTGTACGGCCCCGCCCTGCAGACTGGGTATGACTTCCAGTGCCCTCATGCGATTGGTAGGCGCCGTGCAAATATAACACCCGATCGCGATAAAGGCCGCCCCGACAACAACATATGTCGGTCGCACAAAGAAGGGGATATCCCTATCCTTGATGTCGTCGTTGAATTTCATGGAATAGGCGCCTACGCCGATCCACAGCGCGCCCGTCCCGTAGACCTTGGCATAGTACCATTTGTTCCTTGGGGCCTGGTAGATCAAGACGGGCTGCCGGGTCTGGGCGATCTGGCGCAAGACGGGGTCTTTGCTCACGAAACTCGACTTGGAGCCTCCAATGTTGCTCTTGTACGAGTACTGGTAGCGGCGGAGAATGGACGAGGCAAAGGACCGGGCGTTGCGCGGTGCCGACGTGGGCTGAAAGAAGGACGCTCGTGTCCCGAAGAGGGCGGCGCGGAGCGAGGAGGGGAGGCGGAAAGTCTGCTGGCGGAAGAGGGCGTCCACGCCCCGGGAGAAGGCAGGCATTGCGGGTACGGTCTATATTTGCACTGCTGCGGTCATGGAGCGCATTGCAGGGCAATTGAGCTGCGACGATGCAAAATGTCCGCCGATATGAGACCCTCTGCGGCGGTGATCTGGTGTTCCGGGCATACAGTAGAAGAGGTAACCAGCGAAAAAAGAGCGGCCCAAGCGCGCCTCTCGACACCTCCGACGCTGATCCCGCGCTCAACATTTCCCACCTGCGACGTCCGAGACCCCGTCCGCCCTCCCCACCCACCGCCAAACTCGTGTCCTCGCCCTCGCCCGGTCAATTGACTCGCCATGGCTTCGCTCGCCGCAGCATGTCGGCTATCGGCGCGCGCTGCCTCGCAGCAGCTGCGCAGCCATGGTGCTCGGAGAGGTGAGACAGCGCTGCTGCACTGCTGGGGGGCATGGACTTCTCACTGACATGCTGGACAGGCCTTCACTCGACCCAGGCCTCGCTTGCCGCGCAAAACTTCAACATGCCCGCCCTTTCTCCCACCATGACCGAGGGCAACATTGCGGCGTGGAAGATCAAGGAAGGCGATTCTTTTTCCGCCGGCGATGTGCTGCTGGAGATCGAGACCGACAAGGCACAGATGGATGTCGAGGCTCAAGATGACGGTATCCTGGCAAAGATCACTGTATGTCCGAGGATGGGGGCATGCTGGATTGGCTGAAAACTGACAGCGGGGATAGGTTGGAGATGGATCAAAGGCAGTGCAGGTCGGCACACGGATAGCAGTCACCGCGGAGCCTGGTGACGACCTCAGCTCTCTGGAGATTCCTGCCCAAGATAGCCCTGCGCCAAAGAAGCAGGCCGAAGCGCCCAAGGAACAGCCGAAACAGTCAGCGCCAGTACCCAAGGAGGAGCGCACGTCTGCACCGCCCGCCAAGTCGAATGCCTCAAAGCCCTCAGCCGGCAAGCCTACCAAGCAGACGTACCCGCTATATCCCTCTGTACAACATCTCCTCCAAGTCAACGGTCTGCCCAAGGAGGAAGCCGACAAGATCCCAGCTACAGGACCCAACGGCAGGCTTCTCAAGGGAGATGTCCTTGCGTACCTTGGCCAGATTGAGAACTCATACCCTTCAGAGCTTGCCAGTCGCTTCTCGAAACTCTCTCACCTCGATTTGAGCAACATCAAGCCCATGGCGAAGAAGGAGGCACCCAAGAAGCCTGCGGCCGAGGCACCCAAGGTTGTTGAAGATGTTCCCGTTGAGCTCGCCATGCCCATTTCCCTCAAGGCTGTAATGGAGTGCCAGAAGCGCGTGAAGGAGTCAATAGGCGTCTTCCTACCACTATCGACTTTTGTTGCGCGCGCGGCTGAGCTCGCAAACGAGGATCTGCCCAAGTCCAAGACTGCTAAGCCATCAGCAGACGAGCTTTTCAATGCCGTTCTTGGCCTCGACAAGGCGTCTGCAAAGTACTCGCGAGGCAACTTTGTGCCACAGGTAACGTCGCTGCCCCCTGCCAGTTTGTCTGCCCAGTCACCAGCGCCAAAGAAGTCGGACATCTTGGACATCCTGTCCGGCAAGAAGCCAAGCCCGCCTAAGCGATCTTCCGTCAGTGGAACAGCAAGCGTCGCCGGTCCTCTCAATGTCTTTAGCATCAGCGTGCCAAAGGGTGACGAGCAGCGCGGCCAGGTCTTCCTCGAGCGCGTCAAGGCGGTTCTTGAGGCTGAACCGGGCCGATTGGTTGTGTAAAGACGAAATCAGCCATGTTATCTCCCTTCCGTTTATGTAGCGTCTGTATAGTAATGCATCTCCACTGGATGGGCGAGATGTGCACTGTACCATTATGATTTTGTTTAGACAAGACTATCTTACACTTTGTATGCTTGTGCAGAAAACATACTGTGTTTTCCTCTATCTCGTGCCGCACAGAATAACGTCATAAGGACATTCATACCGATGGCAGTCAAGTGCCAAAGTATATCTCACTGTCGCGGATCCCCTCCTTTTACCCTCCTTCCCCCATCTATTCCTAATCCGCACCCAGTCGCGCCCTCCAATCACCAACCAGGACCCATTTCCCTCTCTCCTCGCCTTGGCATTTCTACCTACAGTGCTCCTCGATACGAGCGGTGAAACTCTCTTTGTATGTACGTAAGTGTATGTGCGTAACTAAGTTCATAGTTGCGCCGGCCGTCCACCGTCCGCCGGCCGCTCCCTCCCGCCGCCGTTTCCGCCGCCGCCGCTTCATGATCCCGCCGCTCCTCCACACAAGGCCAAGCAGCCCCGAGCGGAGCGAGTGAGAGCGTGACAGAGAGAGAGAGACAGAGCGCGCGCGTGATAGAGTAGCCATATGTAGATAGCGACACACTCCCCACTTCACACCCACATCCATCCACACCCACACTCCCCCCCCCCCCCCTCCAAAAGAAATCCCGCATACTAAACGGAAATCCCCCGCACACATACCAAAACCTCCCGAACACGAACAAACCCATACCAAGAGAAAGAAGAAGAAGGGCAATCTGAAACCAGTCTACGTACATGTATCACACGCACATCGGGATTCCAACATACCGATGTGGGATATGAACACGTGCAACGGCCACGGCCACGGCAACCCACCAAAAAAAAGGGGGAGAGATAGAGAGAGAGAGAGAGAGAGAGAGATGGAGAAACGCTGATTACTGTTACTGTTATGTGACTTATTAGCATCGGTACTGATACCGTTTGAAAACGGCATGGCGGGTCCCATTGCAGAAAGCGCACTTGCACTTGCGGCGCTTCTGGTACACTTTGCCACACGCCATTCGATACACGGGCGTGCATCTACAGGTAGTGGTAAGTAGCGGCAGCGCTCGCTCCCGGGTAGCTGCGGATCGGTGGGTATGACACTACTGCTACTGCTACTACATCTACATGGATTGCGTGTTCGGGGGGTTTAGAGACATGGCGCTTACTGCGCCTCGCCTCGCTTCGCGTGAGAGAGGAAGTGGGGTTCATCATGTGAAACCAAACGACAAAGGTTAAATTTGCGTTTCTAAACGGTAAGGGAGAAGAGGGGTTGTGTGTGGGTATGCGGGCGGGGAATTTATCATACTTACATTAATAGCGCAAAAACAAAAACAAAATCAAATATATATGATAAGTAAGGGGAGGGAGGGAGGGGGCATTTCTTGCTTACTTACGGGGGATTTTCATCTTGGTCTCGGTACTTTACTCTTGTCTGTCTGCGCCCTTTTTTTTCTTCCTCTTTTGGGACGACTCGATAGCTGGTTCTGTCGGAAGATATAAGAGTACTTACAAACCTTTTTACACACGCATATACATAACAGATCTTTACGCACAGACGCACACGCACACGCACACAGACACACCTTAAATCTGACTTCTTCATACACCATGTTCACCGCCCGTTCAAAGAGGAGGTACGTTACGTAAAGAACATTTCATTGGTTCATATCATTCTAATCATTCTATATACTAACTTTTTGTTCCAGCGTCATGTCCGCGTTGGACAGCGAACCAGAGAGCAACACTACTAGTGTGCTTGCCAAGTCCCTGATCTCAACCCTCTCTCTCTCCCTCTCCGTCGCAGTCTCCTCTTTCCTCATAATGAGGTACTATTAAGCCTTCTCATCCAGGTCGCCGCCCGTGCCAGAGGAGTCACGGCTGTAGTAGCGACCAAAGACGCGGTCCTCAATCTCCATGTTCTTGTCGACCTTTCCGGTTCCGGCCTTGGCTGCCTTGCGGCGGTAGTAGACGCGCTTGCACCACTTCCAGAACTCGATACCGGCAAAGAAGATGCCTGTCTCAACGAACACGATACCCCACTCCCAAGAAATGGGTGCGTGCTTGAAAACGACCGTGTTGAGGACGGGAATGTAGATGAGCGGGAAGAGCAGAACAAAGCCCACGATAATGGCCCAGAACAAGAACTGGTTCCTCCAGACATCAAGCATCCACTGGGTAAAGTAACGCTTGCTGCCAGGCTGCATGCGGAAGAAAGAGCGGCGCATATCAATCATCTCCCAGGCAAGGAAGAGAGCGAACCAAGTCAGACAAGCGAACGTGCAGGCACGGGCGCGGAAAACAAGCTCGCACTGCTCAGAGTACGTGTCGTTGCAACCAGAACCAAGCTCACCGTCACCGAACCCAAAGACAACCAAGACGAAACTGGCAAGACAGAGAAGCGTGATCCAGAGACCGTAAACGACCATGTCGACAAGGAACTCCATGGTGAAGATACCCGTCTTGAGAGACTGAGGAGGGCGCTGCAGAATGTCGGGAACGGCGCGCTCGAAACCCAAACCCATATCAGGCAGACCAGAAGTAGCCATGATAATCCAGACAACCTGGACAGGGGCAAGAGGGAACACGGACAGGCCAGTGTTGTCCTTGAAGGCAAGACCGACGAGAAGAGTACCAGCTTGAGCGACGTTCTCAGCCAAGACGTGGAGCACGAACTTCTGGATGTTGTCAAAGATACGGCGACCCTCTTCAATAGCGGCGAGAATGGATGCAAAGTTGTCGTCGGTAAGGACAATGTCGGAGGCTTCCTTGGCGACATCGGAACCAGCTTGACCCATGGCAATACCGACATCGGCGCGCTTGAGCGAGGGAGAGTCGTTGACACCGTCACCAGTCATGGCGCAGAAGCGGTCGCGACGGTGAAGAGCCTCAATCATGCGGACCTTGGTGCTAGGAGCGCAACGAGCGACGACTAGAGGCAATACTGAAAGCTGGTCGACTTGTTCATCGGTAAGCTCGTCGAATTCGGCAGCCGTCATGACAAGTGTTTTGGCAACGTCGGCCGAGATCTTCTTGTAGCGGTCGGGAGAGGGCAGGATACCAACTTCAATGGCAATGGCCTTTGCGGTTTCGGGGTGGTCACCAGTCAACATGTGGACCTCAATACCAGCTTCGTGACATTGGCGGACAGCGACGGCGGATTCGGGACGAGGAGGGTCGTAAAGACCAATGAGACCACGGAAGACCAGCTCAGATTCGACAGTAGTGCGCTCGACCTCAGCACCTTTTTCAACTTCGTGAGGGTAACGCTTGCTCGCGAGCGCCAATACACGGAGACCAAGACCGGCAAGAGCTTGCATGTGGGACAGGATTTCGTCGCGGAATTCGTCGGTAACGGGCTGGGACTGCTCCTTGCCATCAGCGAGATAGGTGGTACAGCTCTGGATGACACGCTCGACGGCACCCTTGGTGAAGGAATAGTTGCCAGTGGAGTGCTTCATAATGACGGACATGCGCTTGACATCGGAGTCGAAAGGCAGCTCAACGAGATCCTCCCACTGAGGAGAGTCGCCCTTGGTGAGACCCAGACGGTTCATGCCGAAACGAGAAGCGAAGACCTGGATGGCGATTTCAGTCGGGTCACCATGGGCCTCCCAGGCTCCATCGTCCTTTTGCTTGACAGCAGCCAAGTTGGCCAAAGACGCAACCTTGAGGAATTCACCGAAACCGGAGTGGTTGTGGCTCGTGAGCTTGTCAACGGAGATGAGCTCACCGCAAGCGCTGCCACCAGCCTTGAGATCCATCTTGGAAGGCGCAGCACTGCCGAAACGAACGTTACCGGCAGTGGGGTCCTGGGGTGCGGTGGAGTCTTCGATGGTATATGTTCCAATACCTGGGATCCAAGCACCACGGGCAATCATCTTACCCTGGGTGAGCGTTCCCGTCTTGTCAGAGCAAATGTCGGTAACACCACCAAGAGCCTCGAGAGACTTGAGGTTTCGGACAATGACGTGGCGCTTGACCATGGACTTGGTGCCGGCAGCCATGGTGATGGTGAGCACTACGACCAAACTGGCCGGAATCATGGACAAACCGGTAGCGACGGCATAGATGATGACCTCCTGGCGATTGCTGAAGTTGTTCGAGGCGAGGACAATGATGGCGCAGATGACGGCAATGAAGAAGAGCAAAACCGCAAGCTTGGAGAGTTTCTTCTGGAGAGGAGTTCCAACATTGAGTCCCAGGAAACGACCAATGGCATCCGTGGTGGTGAGTGTGTAAGCCTCGAGGTAACGGTGGGGCTTGGCCTTTCCGTTGGGCTTGCGCTTGACAGGTCGGACCTTGGACTGGGTCTCACGCAGCTGCGCAGCAATGGCGCCGATTTCCGTGTAGGCACCGGTAGCGAAGACGATGCCCTTGGCGCGGCCCTTTGTGACACTAGAAGAGCTGTAGGCAACATTGAGACGGTCACCGGGACCAGTCTTCTCGTCGAAAACAGCATCCTCTTGCTTGCGGACAGGCAGCGACTCTCCCGTCAGCAAGGCTTCATCGGTTTCAAAGTTGACGGCGTCAAAAACGCGCATGTCGGCCGGGATGGTGTCTCCGACCTTGACCTCGATGACGTCACCTGGAACGACCTCAGCCGAGGGAACGGTGATTTGCTGGCCGTTGCGAATAAGGCGGGCAGTGGGCGAGCTAAGAGAGCGTAGCGAGTCCATGGTCTTTTCAGCCGACCATTCTTGGAAGAAGCCGACGACAATGTTGAGGCCAATGACGAAAGCGACGACGCCACCCTCGATCCAGGATTTGATGCCGAAACTGACGGCCATGGCCATGATGAGGACCAGGGTCATGGCATTGGCAATCTGGGCAATGAGAATTTTGATGGGGGAGACGCTCTCGGCTTCTCCAAGCTCATTGGCGCCATATTCATCAACGCGGCGCTTGGCCTCGGCATCGTCGAGTCCAGACCATTCCTCGGTTCGCAGCTCGCTGACGACTTCTTGGAGGGTGAGACTGTGTGCCGGTTTGGACATGGGCTTGTTTGCCTGTCCGCTAACGTGCCCCTCGAGGGGAGCAGCTTTCTTCCCCATGTTGGAGAGTGGGAGAAAAGCGAGATTTGTGTGGTTTTTGTTTTTTTCGGAGTTTAAAAAGATGGAGTATCGGGGGTTTTTGAAAAAGTTGGTGGTGCGGATGCGGATATATCGGCACAGTTCAGACGGAGTGTCAGCGCTCTAGTTTTGTGCGAATTCTCGCTCCTCGCACTCTGGCGTGGAGAAAGTTTGTGGATTGGGTGTTGAGCGTAGTATTCATAGAGAACTTCAGCACGGGGCGGGGGTGCAGACTCCTCCAGATTTACGCCGTGATTGGCGAGGGTTGGGGTATATGGGGAAGAGAGGGAGCGGAGCGGAAGAGAGAAGGCGCTGGCGACAAGAGACGGGCGGGGCAGAGGGGATGCTGGAGGCGAGAAGAGATGGAGACACTGAGCGTGGTAGCGAGCAGAGGAGAAGAGAAGGCAATGCGCTGGGCACAAGATATATGGGCGGCGTGGGGTGGGGAGGTCGGTGTAGTGCGTCGGGGTGCGGAGGGCTGCCAAGCGTCACGACCTGATGCCAAGGTCGGTACAGAAGGCAAGTGCCAAGGCGACTGGAAAACTTTTCTCCACTCTTGGCCGCAGCGGCAGCCATTGAGTGAGCGTCGCGCCGCTGGGGGCGCCGCGATGCAACGGATATACGGCATCTCGACGCTTGGCCTGCCGGCCCTGTCCCGCCACCTGCATCTTGACCACCGCCGCCGCAGACTTTTCCGTTTCAACCCTGCGGTGGAGCAGACGATAGACGTTTCGCGCGCTCAAGCTTTGGGTTAGCAGGCATACAAGCCTTGTTTGACGCGGCTGTGAGTGGCTGTTGGCAGCAGGGCCGCGGAGTCGAGGCTGAGCGGAGACTCCACGGGCACGGACACGGTGGTGAGGATGCGGGCGAGGGCGAACGAGTGGGTGGAGCAGGCCTTGCCGGAGCCGCGCGTAGGTGAGGTGTAGGTGCAGTGTGGGTGTAGTGTAGCTGTCAGTTGGGCCCAGAGTCGCCGCTTGTGCGTGTGCTTGTGCTGCGAACTTGCCTTTGCACCTGTGCTTGTGCTTGCAGTTGCTGGTCTTGGCGGTCGCTGCATGACGTGGGTAGTTCTTTCCTCAGCTAAGGCCGCCGCGGGCCCTTCCAAGCCCTTAGCAACTGCTTGTCCTCTTCTTTTCCCTCTTTTCTCTTGCTCTTGCTCCTCCGCTAGGCCGCCCGCATGGCCTCGCCGACCAGTTCACACGCTGCCCCGTTCCTGCAGTACCATGAGCCCGAGAGTACGTCCCTCCTCTTCCTCCATCACCACCACACACGCACACGCACGCGCACACGCATACGCATGCACATCTTTTCCCCGCCACCCGCCGTTGAAACCATTGCGCCCCCGCTAATGCACCTGCAGTCGTCGACATGCTGATCCTGGTGTCTTTTTTTACCTTTCTATGGATATCAGAGTACGTTTCGGCCAAGCTGATTCGTGCCGGTATCATTGGGCCGATAGCCGTGGGCATCGTCTACGGCCAGCCCTTGGCCGACATCCTGCATCATGATTGGGCCGGTAAGCTCCCCTCCTTCGGGCAATTAGTCCACCTGCGACATTTCCTGACTCCCGCCCCTGCGCATAGAGACGTTTCTGTATCTTGGCTACATTGGTCTCATCTTGATCATCTTCGAGGGCGGCCTGACGACAAGACTGGATCTGCTCAAGGCCAACTTTACCCTGTCCATCTGCGGTGCTGCCACGGGTGTCCTGGCCCCCATTGGTTTCAGCTACCTGCTCCTCTATCTGGCCTTTGGCTACGGCCCAGTCGAGACCTTCATCATCGGCGCTGCACTGAGTGCCACCAGCCTGGGCACCACTTTTGCCGTCATAGCAGGGGCATCCAAGGATGTCGACCTCAGCCAGACCAAAGTCGGCGCTGTCCTCGTGAGCGCCGCTGTCATTGACGACGTGACGGGCCTCGTCATGTCCAGTGTCATTCACGACCTCGGAGACATTGCTTCCGGCGGCAACGTAAACTTGGGATGGTTGATCGGCCGTCCTATTGTCGCTTCTGCTGCCATGGCAATCCTGACTCCTGTCCTTACCAAATGGGTATTCGCACCCTTTTTCCGCACGTACATCGAGAGGCACTTCCACCGATACGACCATTTGTCCAATATCATACTCATGATCCTTGTCTTATCAGCCTTCCTTTCTATAGCCTCCTACACCGGAACCTCTGTCTTGTTCGGGGCTTTCCTTGCCGGCGCCTTCTTGACCTATCTGCCCTCGACGCACCCAGAGGGTCCGTTTGTCGTCATGTCGCGAGAAGAGGGCGAGCGCTCAATGGACAAGAGCCCGACATTTGTACACACTTTCGAGTGCTACTGCTTGGACGCTCAGCAGTACGTGCTCGCTCCGTTGTTCTTCGCCAGTATCGGCTTCGCAATCCCTTTTCTCGACCTCTGGACCGGTGAAGCCATCTGGAAGGGTGTCGTTTACACTTTGCTTATGCTGGTCGGCAAATGCATTGTAGGCATGTGGATACCCATCTGGTCGCTTGCCAAGCACGACCCCCAAAAAGCACAACAAGCACATGGCCAGGATTCGGCGGCCGAGAGCGGCCGATTGGAAAAATCACATTCTTCACCCTGCTCCCCCACACGCAAAGCCGTGCTCAAGCGAGCCGTCTCTCCAGCCGTCCTGCTTGGCATGGCCATGGTGGCTCGAGGCGAGATTGGCCTTTTGATAGTTGAAATCGGCTACAACAACACTCCCTATGTCTCAGCTGAAGGTTTCATCACGGCCATTTGGGCCATTTTGCTCAATACTATCATCGGCCCCATCTGCGTTGGACTCATCGTCAGGTCCAAAGGTGGAGAGATCGGCGACGGTCCGTGGGGAATTGTTCCCGGCCCCAACCACGCCATTGAAGAAGAAATGCGTAGACGCCGGCAATCTCGCCTGGATGCTCAGATGCAAGAGGAAGGCGAAGCCAGAATGACTGCGCATCGCAACAGTCAAATGCAGAGAACGCCAATGAATTAATGTTCCGGTGAGTAGCGACAAGCTAGGGCTGCATATACACACGACTAGACCAAGAATACGCGCGTACTGTTGGGATATGCAAACCACGTACATGTATGTATTCTATGTAGATAAATGAGAGCAATAATGTCTTTTCTTTTACCTGATCTTGCTTTTTGCACTGCCTACCGCTGCTTTGCCGACAACTTTGTTGAGACTTGGTTGTTGATCTTTCTACGCTGGAAGGGGGGGTGGGGGGTTTCAACAATTCCAAATGTGCCCCCCACCACCCATTCCCATGCCATTTTACACACAGCCCGGAACTTTCCCCGCTCCCTTTTTTCCATCCACCCATCTCGACCCCGCATTTTCACTTGGTCACGAGACCTCGTTTCTATCTATCCTTTCATTCATTCATTCTTACATCCATCCCTTCATATCTACATCCTTACATGTATCCTGCCTGCATAGACCCACTTTTGTATCCCCAATTACCCTCTCCCAAATCCATCTACAACACCTCACCTCTCCCCTTTCCCTTTCCCTTTCCCTTTCCCTTTCCCTTTCCCTTTCCCTTTCCCTTTCCCTTTCCCTTTCCTCTTCCCAACCCCTTTCCTCCATCTCCATCTCGCCTTGCCCTGTTTACCCTCTTAATCCCTTTTAAACCTCCTTCACAATAACTATTTTCTCTCAACCTTTTTCTTTCATCTCATGTACCGAAATCCCAAAGTATTTTCCCATGCATATCTTCACTCAATATATCCTGCCACCATTTCTTTCCCCCCACCTCCCATCTACATACCTACCCGATTTGATAATCCCGTCTGCATCCATCCCATTCCCAAATAGGCAGGAAGAATACTTGTCTCGTCTTGGCGCTTATCTACTACCTTACTTACCTACTTACCTGCAATTTTTTTTTCTTGTCGTCTCTTTTTTTTTAGTCCCGTGTTTTTTTCCTCATGTACTTTCGGTGTTATTTTATACATTTTCGGTCCTTTTAGAGGAGGGGGGCGGAGGGCTTGGCTGAGCTGTGCTTGGCTCGGCCCTTTTTTTTCTTGGTTTTCGAGGGAGGAGATAGGTACGGGGGGGGGGGGAGCGGATATGTGTTTGAGGCTGTGTTTTTTTTTCTAGCTGATTTTTTCTTTCGTGTGTTGAATGTATGTATGTATGTGTGTATTTGTTTATCTTGGTGTAATTGTGTGTGTTCATGTTCTACGTTGCTGTTTGTAAAAAAATAAAATAGCGTGTTTTATTTTTTTTCCTTCTTTGAACCTATAGGTATTGTTTTCCCTTTGTAACTGCCTAGCGTGATAATGTGAAGAATGTCCGAGTTGTGGGTTTGTTGCAATTTGGTCTTTCTTGGGGAAAATTGATCAGAAAATGTGCATATGGGTAGTGAGCAAGAGTAATTGGACGTGGAAACCTACTCCTTTACGTCAATCTACACATATAATTCACACTCAACACCCAGATGTATTCATAAGCCATTTAGATCATGACAACAAAAATCAAGGTTCAGAATCATGAAATAAAAAGGAACGAGGCAGAGAGCTACCAAGTGACTTGCCACTGTCACAGTAAGAGAGATTTGGGATCAACTGGCGAAATACCACCATGACTTCTGAAACTATATAACGTCTTGGCACGTTGCTGTACTACGATGACATCTAACAATGAACACAACAGCAGCAAGAATATGTATGAAACGGCCGATACTTCATGACTCACAACAACATCTATCAAGTTATAAAGTCTACGGCTTCTATTCAGTATATACAGAGAGTACACATGTTTCAACAGCAAATTACTGTACATGAACTGTAGCCAGTTCAAATTCCCTTCGCAAGCTGCAGACTGGAAACTGGAAGATGCACATCAAATACGCCTAGAAATGGGGAGTGTTGAGTGCCATGACGCAAAGGAGCCCAGATACAAGACCAGCAGCCGGAAGAGTAAGGACCTAGCCATGTCAGTTTTGAAAAGATTCAAGATACTCGCAGACTTACCCATCCGGAAAAGATAAAGGCAATTTGACGCCAGTTTACGGCACCGACGTCGTAGTTCATCAAGGCAACACCCACTGCCGAACCAGTCAAGCACTGTGTGGTTGATACCGGTAATCCAAGCCTAGAGGCGAGCAAGACGGTAATGGCAGCGCCCAGCTCAACAGAGTAGCCGCGAGTAGGCGACATTTGCGTAATTTTGTTGCCAAGGGCACGAACTATGTGGTACCCGTAAACCCAAAATCCCAGGCCAAGCAGCAACCCTGCAACGACCAGGAACCAGACAGGAGTAGGTGCCTTGGTTGAGACCTCGCCTTGTAGATAGGTATGGTATACGGCGGCCCATGGACCGACGGCGTTGGCCACGTCGTTGGAACCGTGAGCAATCGACATCATCATGGCGGAGACGACTTGGCAGTAGGTCCAAAGGTGCTCAACGCGAACATCATAACGTTTGGCCTTGGAGTGAATGGCGCGAAGGAGATCGTTGTCGTGCGTAACGACATCGCGAGTGACACCCTGGAGCAAGACCCACTTCGTGTAGCCCCACCACTTCTGGGGATGAAACCAAGAAAGGGATTCAACGGGAAGAATGAAACGCTCATAAGGCTCCACATGCTTCTTGACTGGGGATTGAGAGGCACCAGATGTCTCTTCTACGCGTGACTTCTCTGGGTCACTTGGCAGGGCGCCTTCGTTACCGTGCTTCATCGAAGCAGATGGGGAGCTGCTGTTGACCTTGTTGATGCTGTCGTCTTGGGTGGCCTCGGTGGCAGTTTGCTTGTTGTGTTGGGGTCCCCCAGGAACCTGACCATAGGCATCGGCGTAGTAATCGGTAACGTATTCGTCGCCCTTGCCAGGCCAGAAGAGGGTAGTGTTCTCCTTGAGCAACAAGGGTCCGAGAACAACGTGCCAGATGCGGACACGAGGGTCCTTCATGATCAATTTGCGCTTAAAGAAAGGCATGAAGAAGATGTAGCAGATGATCAAGCATCCAAAAAAGACACCAAGAACAATACCCGTCGCTTTCCCAGCACCGAATTCCTCGAGCGATGGTGCAGTAGGGGCTTCGACAACAATGAAGAGGGCAAGGATGGCTCCCGTCATGGCGAAGTAGACGGGGATCAAGCGCATGGCATTCTTGAAGGGGTCCTTTGTTTCAAGAACCGTGTACTTGACCGTACCGAAAACGATGGCCGAGAGGGCGCCAGCGATCAAGGGTGCAATGGCCCAAGAAGCGGCAACTTGGGATACTGAGCCTTTCTCCCAGGCCCACTTGATGCTGGCTCGACTGGCAAAGCCCACTCCAATGAGCGCGCCGACAACAGTTTGGGTGGTGGAGACAGGCATGCCCATCTTGGTAGCATACATGAGCCACCAAGCACTGCCGACCTCTGCCGCCTGTTAACCTAGTACTTCAAACACCGTGTTGTCTGTCTTACCAGCACAGCCCATGGCCAGCATGAGCGCACCCGGACTCTCTGTAAAGCGGCCAATGTCGATGATACCGTTCTTGATGGTCGAGGTGACACGATCTCCGAGCGCAACAGCACCGACAAACTCTGTGACAAAGGCCAGTGGCCCGACTTGGGCCATTGTCAAGGTCCGCGCTGCAACAGAGGCTGCGTACATGCGGTCAGTCATCACGCTCCAAGATTGCGTGGGCTCAGGGTTACTCACTGGCATAGGCATTGGCAACATCGTTGGCACCATTACCAAAGGCGGAGAAGACAAAGGCAATGGTAGTGATTGCGAGAATCCAGTCATAATTGGCAGTCACGAGAGACGCCATCTTGAATGCGTAGTCGTGAAACTGTGGTTGATGAGTTCCATGGTGCTGGGAACATGATCAATCTTATATGATCAGTGTCTATGTAGAGCACATGGCGATGCAGGGAGCAGACTCGATGCCAAATGGAGAATGACAAGATGCGCCCAGAAGATGAGTCCGAGCGCCGAGCGCCTGGCTACGGCAGAACTGCGGGTTTCGTGGATGTTGGCCATTTGAATTCCGTCTTGCGACCATGTCCACGCTTATGGACAGGTTCCGCCAAGTCTATAAGACGTGCCCAGAAATTCCGCTCTCTTGTCTCCGCCTTGGGCTCTTCACGGCCAGTACACTGTGCTGACCAATGGGCGCGGGCTGTGGGAACACGCACACAAATTGTTGGATATGGTTTCTTCGCGCGCCCCGAATAACGCCAGAGCCTGGCTACTGATGTTGGACATGTTGGGGCGTGCACAGCGATGATCGAGCAAAGTCGAGCTCTGGTACGGCGCCAACAGCGGGATTAAAAGACGCTGCCCAGAGGATGAGGGACAAAGAGACCGAATAAAAAGGCGCAGTCGGCCTTGTGGTACGTACTGGTGGTTGCTGGCTGAAGGTTGCGGTGGTAGGCTGGACAGAGGGGTTGGGCGGGATTTGGTTGGGGTGTGTGCGTCATGGCTTGGCACGAGGCGCGGAAAGATCGAGCTCTAGCGTCCAGGGGGTCGTTGCAGAGCTTCGAGTAGGTGTAGTGTGCCTGGCGATGAAACATAGAAAATGTCACGCTGCGCAGCCTTTGCATCGCCTGAAAGGGCTTGTTGCAGCCTCGGTCCGCCATTTCTCGTTCTTTTGCTCGACTAGGCCATGCTTTCCGGGGTGCCCACCTGCCCACCAGGCTAGCGATCCGATTGCCGGAGGCGAGGCAACAGAAGATGTCCAGATACAACGCCGACGGAGGGGGCAGTGACATACTGGCCGTGGCTGGTGGGCGCGCAGCTATCGGGGGTCGACGGTGCAATCGCGCGCAGTAGCATTGCAGAAGGTCGCGTGGGCGTGGGCGGGGTCGCTAAAGCCTGGGACTGGGACGGTCCGGGGTAAGTATACAGTAGCCTGGGGGGAGATCTTCGCGACACAGAGCCTCATGGGCGGACCGGCAGCTGCAGCAATACCGAACGCACATATACGGACGCACCGTAGCACTGGCTGCTGCGCCCGCTATGGCTGCGGGAGGCTGACGGCGCGTCGGCACTTTGCGTCATGCTTGCACGCTTCTTCTTGCCAGGGGTGCCATCATGTGTATGTGTATGTAGTTTGCATGTCTAATAGATGTTTGTATGTAATGAGGCGAGCAAGGGCGGTGGCGGTGGCGGCGGCGGGCGGGCGGAATGCGTGGTGGTGGCGGTGGTTGTGTAGAAAGAAAGAAAAAAGGCCGCACGCAATGCCATGGCAACTGGATACGGGCGCAGCCGGAGTGACACGGCTGATGTCAACGTGTGACTCTACACTCGACGCCATAGCAGCGCGCGAGAGCGAGTGACTGTTGTTTTTTCCCGCGTGGGCGTCTTGCCTTCCCCACGCCTGCTCTCTCCGAGGCGCCCCCCCCCCGCCAAAGGCTCGCAATTAAAAATTAGCTTAGCTCCGAGCTCGCAACCTGGCCGCCAGCTGCCTTCCTCGGACGGCGTGTTGGCCGACTCACCACCTCGTGCTCCTGTCTCCAGCAACCCCTCCACCGGCTCCTGCGGCTCCCTTTGAGGCCAATTGCACTCGTCAAGTCCTGTCCGCCCCCCATGGCGACCGTCAAGGAAGAAATGCGCGAGGTGCTCCTCGGCACCACGGATGAGCCCCAGCTGTCGCAGCTCACGCGCGCCGCCTTTATGAAGTACGCCCAAAAGGACGAGTCGGGCGAGTACTTTCTCAACGAGGACCAGTTCATCTCCGCCGTCGCCCCCGAGAGCGAAGACTACGTAAGCAGCCCGCCCGGCCTGCCATGTGTCGACTCCCGCTAACGGCGCGCCCGCTTCTAGCACAAGATCAAGCGATACCAGTATGGCATCCTCTTCCAGGTGGCCGACCGCGACCAGAAGGGCAAGGTCAGCATCCACGACTGGTCCGTCTTCCAGAACCTGCTCGCCAAGCCCGACGCCGAGTACGAGGTCGTCTTCCGCTTCTTCGACAAGCGCCGGACGGGCTACATTGACTTTGACGAGTTCTACCAGACATGGAAGGCACACAAGACCGAGGACAGCCTGCCGTTTGACTGGGAGGGCCAGTGGGCGGCGCTGTACGTTGGCTCCAAGAAGCACAGGCACACCATGACATATCCCCAGTTTGCCCAACTGCTGCGTGGACTGCAAGGCGAGCGAGTGCGTCAGGGCTTCACCTTCTTCGACAAGAACCGGGATGGATTTATTGAGCCGGAGGACTTTCAGCGCATAATACGCGAGACTGCAAGCCACAAGCTGTCCGACTACCTGCTCGAGAACCTGCCCACACTGTGCAACATCTCGGTGGGCAGCAAAATCTCGTACGCCAACGTCCGCGCCTTCCAGAATGTCATCCAGCAGATGGACATGATTGAGCTCATTGTCCGCAATGCCACGCAAAAGAGCCCCGACGGCAAGATTACCCGCACCGACTTTCTCAACGAGGCAGCCCGCATCAGCCGCTTCAACCTCTACACTCCCATGGAGGCAGACATCCTCTTCCACTTTGCCGGCCTGGACGAGTCGTCTGGCCGGCTCGGCCTGCGCGACTTTGCTCGCGTGCTCGACCCGTCGTGGCACAAGATGGGCTCGCTGGCGGGAGGTGCCGTTGCTGAGGCAGGGCAAAAGGTGTTTGCGAGCACAAAGTCAATATGGCATGACGTGCTCGAGTCGGTGCACCACTTTGCACTCGGATCTCTGGCTGGTGCCTTTGGTGCCTTTATGGTGTACCCCATCGACTTGGTCAAGACGCGGATGCAGAACCAGCGAGGCTCTGGTGTGGGCCAGATCCTGTACAAGAACTCAATCGACTGCGCCAAAAAGGTGGTCAAGAACGAGGGATTCAGGGGCCTCTACTCGGGAGTCCTTCCACAGCTTGTCGGTGTGGCTCCGGAGAAGGCCATTAAGCTCACAGTCAACGATCTCGTACGAGGCAAGCTGACGGACAAGTCGACGGGGCAGATCAAGTTTGCCGCCGAGATGTTTGCGGGTGGCGCTGCAGGTGCTTGTCAAGTGGTAAGTGCTTGGTGCTATGGTGCGGCTAGTCATTGGGAAGGAAGCTAACATGCAGGACGACAGGTCTTTACCAACCCCCTCGAGATTGTCAAGATTCGGTTACAAGTGCAGGGAGAACTGTCCAAGAATGTCGAGGGCGTTCCCAAGCGGTCGGCCATGTGGATTGTGCGGAATCTGGGTCTCGTTGGCCTGTACAAGGGAGCGAGCGCCTGTCTTCTGCGTGACGGTACGTAGCGCCGTCTTTCTCTCTCTCGGATGTATGCACGGGTAGACTAACACGGCGGGCAGTTCCGTTCTCTGCCATCTACTTCCCGACGTACAGCCATCTGAAGAAGGATTTCTTTGGCGAGAGCCCGCAAAAGTCGCTGGGGGTGCTACAAATGCTGACGGCTGGAGCCATGGCGGGTATGCCCGCGGCGTACTTTACAACGCCGTGTGATGTGATCAAGACGAGGCTGCAGGTAGAGGCGCGCAAGGGCGAGATTGCATACACAGGGCTGCGACATGCGGCTGCTACAATTTTCAAGGAAGAGGGTTTCAAGGCCTTCTTCAAGGGCGGACCGGCGCGTATCATGCGGTCGTCGCCGCAGTTTGGATTTACACTGGCTGGATACGAGGTGCTGCAGCGAGGTAAGGGGCACGGGACAAGCTTTGGAGTCAAGATGCTGACAAGTTGCAAGCGTTGCCAATGCCAGGATCGGTTCAGACGGACGCGTCGAGCCTGGAACCCTCGGTGGGCCTGGAAGAGGCCAAGGCACCGCTGCCGTATCTCCGGAGCCGCAACGCACTCAAGGTGATCCTAGACCTGGACGAGAACTTTGGACGACCCAAGCTGCCTGCCGATGCAAAGTTTCCGGGGATTCCCGGATTCGGCAGGCGGACGGAGGCGTAGGGCGGGCGCGTGTGGGGCATGCAGTGGGCGCCGAGGACGGGCGGGGATTGGTCGAGGGCGGGCGGGCAATAGCGTTTGTGAGGACAGCCATGGCTTGTTTGGCCGTGGCATGTTTCTGGAGGCAGTCGTGTTGGCCGTGGGCAGTCGAGGCGCCGTGGTGGCGGCGTGTAGCATAACGCATGCACGGGGTGTAGATGTGCAGGGATTGCATTTCTCAGCGGCACAGCAATAGACACTATATACGTATGTGCATGGGCGTTGAGGGCCAAGTCATGGAAGCGAGCGGCAGCAGCAGCAACGTGAGGGGGGGGGGCGGAAGAGCGAGTGAGTGCGTTGCATGGCGCAACCGCCGTATCGGCCGCATAGACGGACGGGAGACAGACATAGATAGTAACCGACGAGCTGGGGCGGCGGCGGTAATTTGCACGGGCGTCAGCACAGCATGTGAGGCGGCGGAAGGAATTTTTTTTCTTGCAGGCGGGTGGGAGGACGGAGAGACGGAGGGGGGGGGAAAGGACGCGGCGGCATGTGGAATAGGGCCGAGTCGAGGTCTTGTGGTGTGGTATGGTAGGGTGTCGTGTGCGTGTGTGTCGTTGGTGTGGTGGTGATGGTGGTGGTGGTGGTGGTAGCGGCGGTTGCGGTGATGATGGGGTAGGGGGGGTGGGTGCAGCGTGTTGCTCCGCCCACCGTCTGGCGCTCTCCTGTGTCGCTCGCTGGCTCGCCCGACCCCGTGGAGGAAGCGTGGCTAACTGTGGGGGGGAGGGCCCGCCCGAAGCAGCTAGCGGCAGCGAAAGCGGGGGAAGAAGAAAGCACGGGCGGGAAACCTTTTGCCCTGCTTTGGGGCGTGGGAGCCTCAACTGCCCACTGGACGCGAGCCTCGCGCTTCTGGCTGGGGCTGCGCCTCGACGCCCGCCATGGGGAAGGAGCGACAGAGACGGAGGGCAGCAGCGAGGGAGCGCGCGGAAAGCACAGGAAAGGAAAGGAAGCCACAACAAACACTACACAGGCACACATAGACATACACACACACACACATCGCTTCCCTCCTCCCGCCCTCGACCCCTCGCCCGCGCCCTCGCCCTCGCCCTCACCCTCGCCCACGCCGTCACCCTCGCCCACGCCGTCACCCTCGCCCACGCCGTCACCCTCGCCCACGCCGTCACCCTCGCCCTATTAGCCGTGCGTGTGTGTCTTGCTACCAAGTTCCGCCATTCCCACTCGATGCAGGGCCAGCCGTCCACTCACCAACACCCCATCCCTCCCACCCCCCCGCAATCAGCCTCCTCGTCCACCAGCACTGCCCGTCGTCTTCCCATCTCGTATGCCCTGACAGCTTCCCACCTCGCTCCCCCCAAGACGCGCCTCGCCCAGCTGCTGCCCGCTCTCGCCATATGCAAGACGCCCTCGCCCAGCCCTCCCATCCGCCCCGGTGCGAGTTGATGTTTGCGATCGGCAGGCCCCTTCGACACCGCCTTGAGGCTGAAAAAGAGCCGTCGCACTGGCACCCTCGGGTATGTTTCTCACCGCGCAGAGCCGCTTCGTCGCTCGCTCGCTCGCTCGCGTCTTTACTTTGCATCATATCTCCACATATAATTCCCGACTCGTGCGCCTGTTTCGCCTCATGGCTACGCCCATGCCCATGCCCGCAATCCCCTTCCCTCCGCCTGCCCATCCCTGTCTGCCCCAGTCGCCCTCCGACCATCCCTCGCCAAACCCGCTGTCCTCCGCCTTCTTAACCAAACCACGCCGACTCTGCCCACGCACAACGTCGCCAGAAGAATGCTCCCCACGGTCATGCTGACTCCCCTTCAGACGCCCATCACAGACTGGTCTTGCTGTGCCACTCGTTCGCTCCACCGCCGCCTGGGCCTTTCTCTGGGAGCATACGCCGAGCGCTCATTGGGATAGTTCTGCCTCCGCCCCGTCTTCCTGCACGCCTGCTACTCTGCTGTTTTCCTGTTCCCTTGTTTTTTGGCGTCTTATACCATCTTAACGCCCTGCCCCAATCCAGATGCTGGACAGCAGGGAATACTACGCAGACGACGACGCCATCTTGCACTCGCCCGGTTTGACCGCAGTCGTGGTAAAGACAACGCCATCACCATCGCCTCCGCCCACTGTCACACCCGTACTTGATCCCCCGTCACGCCCGCGGAGCCTTGCCCACGCTTCCCAAGGCCAAAAGGGCACCCAGCAACGCAGGCCCCGACCGAGACCTACCCAAGGCGACTGGGTGCTCATTTCGCAAATGGACCCCAACCGGCTGGACATTGCCCAGCGAGCAAGCGAACAAGTTCTGAATTTCGACACCGACTCTGGGAGCGACATGGAGGTCGAATCATATGGCGCGGCCCCAGCTCCGTCTGGCTTGAATGGTTCCAACTCCGCACCAACACACCTCCAATCACTAGCTCTGCAACAGACTGCGCAAGAAGCCCTCGGTTCGAGGACTGGCCCAAAGGCCACAGCTACCCACAGGGACTCTGTACTCGAGGACGACGTCAACCTTAGGCCCATCCGCCTGGTTACAGATAGACGCCCCTCCCAGGCATCTGTGCACGTCGCATCAAATGCAGTACGTCATGAAACAAACGGCATACATCGATCCTTATCTGGCACTTCTGCAGTCTCGAATACATCACTGCAACTACCCAACCAACACTTTGACGGCCTGTCAAATGGATCTTGCTTGGAAATCAACTCAGCAACCTCTCCTGGGCTTCGGCAGCTGTCCATTCCACAGACAAGGGGCTTGTCCACAGACACGCTGCCAGCACTACAGGCCCCTTCGCCGGGACGCGATGGATCTGCCGGATCGCCTGCTCAGCAATTGCCTTCGTTCAGGCACATGGACGACATTGCAAGGTCGGCGACGAGTGAGCATGATCCGAACAGGGCAAACAGCTTCGCCCATCGACCATCGGTGTCGTCGGTGGGGCATTCACCAACATCCAGAGTGCGTCAGTTGTCCATCAGCTCACACTCCCCTGCAACGCCCTTTTCACTCAGCGCCTCCTCCCCCATGAGCGCCAACGAGCCATCTCAACGAGGTGACTTGTTTCTAAGAACAGCAGGCGGAGGCGTCTTTGGTGATGCCCGAAGGCCCTCACATGCTGCATCAGACAGCGCTCCCTACAGCACATTGCACTCTGCATCAACGAGCGATAGTTACCATAGCGCAGATGGGCTGAGTCCTGTCACACAACCAACACCCATTGAGCACCGCCCGCGGCACATGAGCTTGGATGGTGCACTCGCATCACGAGTATTGCCACCGCCAGTGGGCTCTGGCTTACCACCGACCATCCCTTCGCATGCCACCGGCTCCTTCAAGTGCGACCACCCAGGCTGCAATGCTGCCCCTTTCCAGACGCAGTACCTTTTAAAGTGAGTCCTGGAATGTGTCATGTACGTGGCATGTGGTGCTAACTACGCTAGTTCACACACAAATGTGCATTCATCAAACCGCCCCCATTACTGTCCTGTAAAGGATTGCCCCAGAGGCGAAGGAGGCAAAGGCTTCAAGAGAAAGAATGAAATGATACGCCACGGCCTTGTGCATCAATCACCGGGCTATGTCTGCCCGTTTTGTCCAGACCGCGAACACAAGTATCCCAGGCCAGACAATCTACAGAGGTATGTGTTTTGGCGGAATTATTGGGGTATTTGGGCTAATCAGATGCATAGGCATGTTCGTGTACATCATACCGATAAAGATAAAGACGACCCCCAACTCCGCGATGTTCTTGCTCAGCGTCCAGAGGGTGGGAGTCGTGGTCGAAGGAGACGTGTTAGCGACTCTGGTCATTAACGCACGTCACTCCTTTGCTGTCGAAGCAGACAAAGTTTTGTTTTCTTGTTTGTATAGCAATCTGCAACATTGAGTTTGCTTGCACCGGTTCTTCTTCTTCTCTTCTTTTATATCGCGTTAACTAGCGACTACCTTTATTAAGCGTTTAGTAGTGTGGTCAGGAAAGATACACACACACTAGTAGCGGGGGAAAGGTTGACCCCTCCCACCATCGGCTGCGCCCCCTCCCTCCCTCCCTTTTTTTACCCCCCATCTTCTCCCACTTTCGGGTGAAAGCAGAAGATCAGCATGTCTTATCCCTTCAATCTTGTTGTTTTTCTTGCCTCGACATCTCCCCATACCATATTTTTGTAATGCAAATTATGAAGAGTTTTGTTTCTCTTTATGCTTTTGAGCTGGACTTGTGTGTTTGTGTGTGCCCAGAAAGCCCAGGAAAGTAATGCAGCTTGCGAGTATAGCACTTATGACCTTACTTTTATTCCTCCGCACGTGACGCGAGCAATACTAATCACGTGAATAGCCAGTCGCTTGAACACACACACACACACACACACACACACACACGCACACACGCACACACACACAACAAGATCACGGCTCTACTCTAAACCCAAAAAGAAAAAAACCTCAAAGTCTCAATTAGGCATCTTTCAGCCTTCTACTGCTAAGTCGCGTCGTTTACTGCTATATACTTATACCGCTCCGTTATATCATATCATAGTAATGTAACGCGGCTTCAGATTATAATATATATATATATACCCAAGTATAACTATACTACGTACTAAACTATACTGCAGTTGCATTATATATATACATATATATATATATATATATTTATATAAACGATAACGTGTTTCACCAGTAAGCGGGCCACCCCAGTATGTGGGCCACTTCCCTATGATATCCCACCTTTGCAACAACAACGCGTAATGTCTTAACAACGCAACGCGTTAAAAACTTATACTAAAGCAGATCTATTTCTTGCTATTACTAATCTTAATTCTAAACAAATTTAGAGTGAACGACGCGCTGCTGCCGCCTATAGCGTCCCACGAACAACAATCCAGCGTCGACGAGCTGGACAGCGCCCTCGAAGCGATTGGGAGCCACCAGCAAGGCGCCTAACAAAACTAGAAGAGGAGGCTATTACTATGCGTGTAATAGTCGAGGCTAAGCAAGGACTACCCTGTGGGAAAGACGACGTGCGAGATATGGCCAACAGACTGCTCCGAGAGCGTGGCGGGAAGGAGGTGGGCAAGAACTGGGTTGATAGGTTTGTCCAGCGCAATCCTAAGCTGCGTACGCGCCGGAGCCGTCCATACGATCACCAGCGAGCTCTCTGCGAAGACCCAGCGCTTATTAAGGGCTGGTTTAAGCTAGTTCAGAATATGAAGGCAAAGTATGGTATCGTGGACGAAGATATCTATAACTTTGATGAGACTGGCTTTATTATAGGCAAGATTTTATCACAGTCAGTTATCACGGGCTTAGACAAACCAGAGAGAACAAAGAAGATCCAGCTAAGCAATCGTGAGTGGGTTACGCTAATACAAGGCGTTGGCGCAACAGGCACGCGTATCCTAGCGTTTCTTATCTTCGCTAGCAAGGTTCTAATCTCTACCTAGTTCACGGAGGATCTGCCACGCGACTAGGTGATCCAAGTTAGTCCTACCGGCTAGACGAACAACGATCTAGCGCTTGACTGGCTTCGTCACTTTGATTCCCATGCGCGGCCTGTGGGGACGCATAGGCTGCTTATTATTGACGGCCATGAGAGCCACTGCTCGGTGGATTTCCGAGATCTCTGCGAAGAGATGAAGATAATCCTCCTCTGTATGCCTCCCCACTCGTCGCACCTCTTACAGCCTCTTGATGTGGGCTGCTTCTCGCCGTTAAAGCGCGCGTATGGTGATGCTATCTCGGTCTTAGCACACAATCGCATCCACTATATTAGCAAAGAAACCTTCCTACTAGCGTTTAAAAAGGCCTATTATAAGGCTATTACACCAGAAAATATCCGCGGAGGGTTCCGAGGTGCTGGACTTTCACCGCACGATTATAACGTTGTTTTATCACAGCTTAACGTCATGCTGCGTACGCCAACTCCACCAGCGCAAGAGACTACTGCTTGGGAGCCGAAAACGCCGCGCAACGCGCGCGAAATGGAGACGCAGGCTACGCTTATTCGAAACTGTATGCAAATCTAGCAAGGGTCTCCTACAAGTTCTCTTAAGGAGTAGATACAGCAGTTAAGTAAGGGAGCTTAGCAGATAGCTCATAATATAGTGTTAATGCAGGAGAAACTCGATCGCCTTGAAGCTACAATTACTGAAGTAACGAAGCGAAAAACTCGTAAGAGGCGCTACGTACAGGCAGAGGGGTCCCAGACAGTTGGCCAGATAGCTGATCAGATCGCTGAGGCAGAGGGTGGTAGCTATAATGATGGTGCAACGTCTGCGAAGAGGGTGCGTAGTGAACGGCGCTGCGGGCGTTGCAGCCAAATTGGACACAACTCTCGCACTTGTTAAGTAGAATTAGAGGATACAGAGGATAGCAATGCGTCTGAAGAATAATATCTTATTCTACTTAATAAAAAATATTGTGGTGGTGTTGCGCAATACTATTACAAAGATGTAATAGTTTGGGGAGGTGGCCCACATACTGGGGTGGCCCGCTTACTGGTGAAACACGTTATACTATACTATATTATATCATGATTATTTTTTATCTTCTTTTTGTAGGTGCGATGAATAGGTAAATGGATATACACATAGTATTAAAATGAATAAATGGATGGATGGATATTTAAAATGTTGTTACGGTGTGTGTGTGTGTCGGAGAGAGATGTGTATAAAAGCAGAGATGTGGATAGTCGTGAGTTGCAATAGTGATACGAGAGGGTGGTAGGTCAGCATGATGATAAGGAGAGTTTCGTGTTGTGTTGTATTGTGTTGTGTTGTGTGGGGGGGGGGTTTTTTTTGACACACGGCATTTGTACCCGCTCTGACGACATCTTATTATTATTATTATTATTGTAGTTTAACGTCCTTTCTCAGCCCAAAGGGCTATATAAGACGTGCAGGCTTAAGGCCTGCAAGTAACTACGTAGGCTAGAATTTAATCTAGGTACAAATTGAGTAGGTACAATGTAGGGGGTTATCTAAATGAAGGTGAGGCTCGTAGCCTAGTAGTTTTTTAGTGAGTAACTCTCTCAGATCTTTCACTTTAAATGAGTCTTCCTCTTAAGTTTTAACGAGTAACTCTCTCAGTCGAATAGGTAGTTTAATGAGTAACTCTCTCATGTGGGTGGACCATAAATATGGTTGTGAGGGGAGAAGGATTCGAACCTTCGATCTTTGCTGACGTGAGACAGCAGAAAATTTTCCAGGCGCTCCACCACTGCGCCATCCCCC